GCCCGCGCTTTTAGGCCCTTGATGGAAATCTTTCTTCTTCTGCAGGGATTTGGCTAGTGCCCTTCCAAGGCAAAAGTAAGTCCTGCCTGTTTTCGAAGTTCTCTCTGCTGTCCCCTCGGAGGGGGCGGCACCCCGTTGGCTTCAGCTCCCCGAGGGTTGTTTTCTCCGGGCTGCAGCCGGCCGGTTTCTAATGGGCAGTCCGTTCACTTTACGAACTCGCCTGAACCAGCTTTAACCTGTCTTTATTTCCATCCTAGTCGCAGTTTATGAAATGTGCCCAATTTAACCCAAAGGGCATTTGGTATGAGCTCAGAGGAAGTGAACTGTGGGTCCGAGGGGGTCGCTGGCACTCCGCCCCCACCTTTTGGCCCCAAGAAGTTCCCGCTCAGATTTAGCGGTACCGGTTATTTGAAAATCCTGGCTTTTGATAGGTATTTGTCCAATAGTCCTCCCTGAAGACATCCCGTTCCGGAAGGCAAAGGAGTGACCGAGTTTAACTGATGTGTCTGCTGTTTTTTATTCATGGGCCAGAGTAGTAGCAGATGGCTTAAGTCCAGGGTCTTAATTAAGGACTGATGGGCTCCCTGCAGACCAAGGTGAAGTCACCAGAGGGAAGCTGCCTTGGGGGGTATCAGAAGCCCCCTGGGCAGATGTTAATCCTGGGCAGAAAAGTGTGTCCATTCACTTACCTGAAGTGCTACAGTGAAATACATTTTTATTGTACTATATGATGTGGTTTTAGTTGTAATTTTGCCTCAATTTTAGTTCCTGGCCCTTAAGTCTGTTGACATACCTTAAAAATGAGTTTGAAGGTGACCCTGAGTGGAGGGTGTGTATATTTAAAACTTCCTGGATTCAGAAAATGTCATCCCTTTAGGGAATAATTCTCCTTTTGCATGGAGGTGGCCCCGCTGCTGAGATGAGAACTTGCCTGTGGAGTACTTCAGATCCCTTTTAGGATTTTAGTATTGCATTAAGTGGGGTGAGGTGGGGTGGGAGTTGGGGTGCAAGGTGCTGTAAAGCACTGCTGGTTTCTGGGGTCATTTTGGGACCGTGGATAAAGAAGCCTTTGGTCCACACTTCTTTAATTTCACTTCTTGAAAGCTGGGGTTTTCACCCTTGTAGAGGTTGACCTCGGTGAAGGCCAAGGTGGGAGGTCAGTGAACATGGCCCTTGTACCCCCGGCTCTTGGGTGACGGTCTTGTCGTTTTCTTTGATTTTGCGTTTTATTTTCCATCCTCTTCTCAAGTGAAGAGCCCTGAAGCTGGCTGACCTCACGGGGTAGTAGCCTTTACTTCCTGCTTCTCTCCTTCTGTTTGATGTTCTTGTGACTTTGATTCCTCAGTAAATAAGGATGCCAAGGCTGAAACAAGTTACTGTTGAGTGATGGTTCTTACCACCCCCACCCATCCCCCCTCCTTTTTTATGTAAAGGCAGCAGCCTGCAGGTTATTAACTTAGCATGGTCTGGGTAAACACGAAGTTGTGCGGTCCCCAGGTGCACAGGCCTGCCTGCTTCTCTGTCGGTCCTCGATGACCCTTTGGAGTGTGCCCCAGCCAGGTGAAAGGAAGGCGTGGTGCGGGGGGGTGGCCAAGGCAGCACTGTCCTCTCATTGTCGGGCAGCGGGTGGTGGCCCCACACGGGACGCTTTCCAGGAGTGCCCCAAGCCAGCCTAGTCCTTCTGAGAACTGACCACACCTGCGTGGGCTTGTGCCCGGTGTGTGTTTTAGAGATGCTTGGTTATTGTGTTGTCTGAGGAATGGGTTGTACCAGTGACTCTGCTGTTGGAGGAGTGAATAGGGTCAGCGGTTTGATTTGATCCACCACCCGGGATGCACAGAGGGAGGCAGGTTATCGGAGAGGGCGCCAGCTTCTGTGCTGTTTCTGATCCTGAGCTTGACCGAGTCTCTCCTGCTCGCCGGTCATTCACCTTCTCAAGGGCTTCCCTTGTGAGGGCGTCCAACACGTCATCTGGAAACAAGGTCTCCAGTCATAAGCTGATGTGAGGCTCATTCTTGAGATGTGATGGGACTTTTGTCTAGAGGTGGAGGAAAGAATCTTTGAGCATCTCAGGATTTTCCATTTGGATAAGAAAACTGAACTGAAATCAGGGTCCTTCGTTCTAGTTTTGCATTTAGGAGACATTAGTATGACCTTTAAAATATAGGTCATGGGCCAACTGTCCTGTTTTTTTTTTTTGTCCTGCTTTTAGAAGATTGGAGGGATGTGTAAAGCAGTATCTGCCTTTGCAGAGTTTACAGAGCCCAGAGGACAGGGTCGTATTGGTCTGAGCAGTGACCAATAACTAACCAGAACAGTCTATTTAGAAAATTAAAAATTGTGTTCAGGTTCTTATTCTAAAAGCAAGATTTTATACCGAGCAGTTTCTTGTGGATGGAAACCAGGTGGCATCTAAAGTTCATGGTATTACGGCTTGTCCCTTTGTCCCAGAGAAGATTTCTGTAATCTGGAGATATTTTTTTCTCACCTCGATGCATTTTTACCTCCCTGATGATTGGACTGATTGAAATCTCTCGAAGGTCATGGATGAAAGCAGACTCATCTGGGACTGGTTCACTCTGTTTGAGAGCGTTGCAGAGTCTCTGAGGAGGCGTGGGAGGCTGACCTTCGCCGTGACCCCAAGGCCGGCCGCGGGCTCCGGGGCTGTGCTCCTGATCTCCGCCCCTCCCTGTGTGTTGCAGTGATGTGCTCGCTCTGCCCATCTTCAAGCAGGAGGAGCCCCAGCTGTCCCCCGAGAATGAGGCCCGCCTGCCGCCCCTGCAGTACGTGCTATGTGCCGCCACGTCCCCTGCCGTGAAGCTGCACGAGGAGACCCTGACTTACCTCAACCAAGGTAGTGGCTGCAGCTCTGGGCCGGGGCGGGGGTGGGGTGGCCACCAGGAGGAGTGAGTGCCAGAGGTGGGGTGAGGAGAATGCTCTGGTGTCAGATAGATTCTCTTACTAGTTGTGAGAGACTTCCTGGGCCTTGGTATCTTCATCTGAAAAGTGGGCACATCAGCTGTTTCACTCAGGCCACGGGTGGGTGACGCGTGCCACGTTCCTTGTGTGGGCCCTCCAGGGAGCAGTTACTGCTTCCTTGGCCACGGCTGATGTCCTTTCCTGGATGCAGGTCAAACACCTGGGGGATGCGAGGTCAGCCGCCCTCTGTTTAGCCGCACCTGGCGGTGATGGTAGGCCATGGTAGGCCGGTCCTGTCGCAGCCTGAGGGCTGGGTCCACATGCGTGCGGCGGGAGCCCTCGGTGGCGATGGGGACACACTTGCACTCCGTGTCCTAGGAGACCGGCGTGGGCTTTGGACTTTGGACCCCTCCTCTAGCTCTGGGCCTTGGAGCTGCTTTTTCTGTTTCTCTGAGCCTCAGTGTTCTCGTGTGTGAAATGAAGAGTATAGTTGTGTGACGTTTAAAGGAATGAAGGTGTGCAAAGGGCCTGGTTGGTTTCCGCTTTCCTCTATCAGAATGTGGATCAGTGTCCTACCCGACGGCACTTTTGTGGTTTCTGTAACATTACGTGTCTGTGTCGCACGTCCTCCCTGGGTAACTTCGGACATCCTGACATCCAGTGCATTGGTCCTGCCTTCTGCCATTTTCTTAATTGTTCTTTTTTTTTTAAATTGGAGTATAGTCAGTTTACAGTGTTATGTCAATTTCTGGTGCACATCATACTGGAGGAACGGAGGGCAGGGACACGGGGTTCTGGAGGGTTGCACTGAATGCCGGGGGTCGGGGGAGCAGCAGTGTGGTCAGTATGTCCTGCATGGGGCCGGGGGTGTGGCCTCCTCATGGAGAACCTCGACTCCGAGATTTGGGGACCCGATGGGGGTCCTCGACCTAATTGGCAGGCCTTCCGGCTCTGGGCCAGGACTGATCAGAATTAGCAGGTGGCTCTGCGTCCCTGTGGATGGAAATCCCCCTCCCATGGCTGACATGGCCCAGGGCAAGGGCAGGCTTGTCCCCGCGGGTGGCTCTGGGCCTCAGTGGGTCCCCGGGCCAACCTCAGCCAGCTCCTGGCCCAGGCCTTGAGGTCTGTGCTCCGTCCGTTGAGCTGGTGCCGCTGATGGCTGACACCTGCCGTGTGCGAGAATGTGTCTGTGTCTGCGCTTATTCCTGCGGCTTTGTCACGGAAGGTCAGAAGCTCCCAACCTGTGTACCTTCCAGCAGTGGCTGTCCCCCTGGGCCTCTGCCTTCCTGAGTGCAGCACGAGGGAGCGGGTGATGTTCACAGAGCACTGAGTTCAGGCTGGTTCTTGTTGCTGGACCAGGACACTGCCCGCTCCCCGCCTCTTCTGTGAGGCCTCTGCCCGCCCCAGCTACCCTCCCCCGCCCTTAATCAGTCAACTTTGGACAGTGTTTTCGCAGTTCACAGACTAGGTCTTTTTAAGAGTTTTCCTTTGCTCGATGTCTGTATGTTAAAAGACGGAAAAGGGGTGCCCCAGGGTCTTAGCATCCTGGACTTAATTCGGTTTGTTTACTTTAGATGTCTTTAAAGTTACATTTACCTGCTTGTTGCCTGATGGCTATCATACCTGTTCATTAGAGAAAACTTGGGTGATTTAGAAAAGTTAGAAGAAAGAAAATTAAAAGGAAAATAAAATTAAAATCTCTAATTTCATCTGAGAACCATAGCTAATCTTATTTCTACACATTTGTGTATTTACCTTTTAAAATTATGATCGTGCTGCAGATAAATACTCAGATTTCTTCATTTACTACATTTGTGAACTTTCCTCACGTCATTGAAAGTGCTCTGAAAATTCACATTTCCTAACGGCTGCGTAGTTCTCTTCACTCTGACTGGTCATCTCATAATATGGACACTTAGTGTTCAGCTGTTGTCTTTGTGTGAAATGTTGGTAACTTCTTTAGATAAATAAATTAGAAGTAGAATTACTGGATCAAAGAGTTTGAATAAAGCTTTCGATAGATCTGACCAAACTGCCGGCTCCTCAGAATGTACCAGTTCACCTGGTAGCCAGCAGCGTGCATTGTATTTCTTTCTCAATATTGGATGTTGTCATGTTTTTATCTGATTAGCGTAACATAGGATTTAGTCTTAAACTAACATTTCTGTCATTGCTAATGTGGTTGAATATTTAAAAATTTATTTATTGATCTTTTTAATTTTTCCGCCAGGTATGGTCATGTTCTTTGAACATTTTTTTTTAAACTGAAGTATAGTCAGTTATAATGTGTCAATTTCTGGTGTACAGCGTAATGTTTCGTCGTACATATACGTACATATATTTGTTTTCATATTCTTTTTCATGAAAGTGTTTGCACATTTTTTATTGGGATGGTTCTATCTTACTGATTGTAAGAACAGATACCAGAGGAAGAAAATCAACCTTTTTGCTGCCTCTCATGGCGAACATTTTCCCCTGGTCATTTAACCATATTTATTGTGTGGTAACTATATTTACGGTGTGAGATAAATGTCACAACTTTTTTTCAGTGTAGTTATTTAGTTTAAATGTCTATTGTCAAATCTTTCAGTCTTCTGAAATGATTTTTCTTTTGTGTTTAGAATACTTGCATACCCCCAGATCAGTTTAGTAGTCTTCTAAATTTCATGTAAGTTTCTAAATTTTAACATTGCAGTGCATTTGGAGTTTTTTTGAAAGGTAGATATTAGGTATTTAATGATATTTTTCAGTGTTACTAAAATATGTATTTCTTTTCCCCCCAGCTTTACCAGTGAGATTTATACTTTCATACGTTGCATTTGGAGTTTGTGATGGAAAGTCTAGGCTTATTTATTTTTCTAAATAATTGACCTGGTTTATTGTAGTCAATGTCTAGTTTATTGCTTATTCTCACTGGTTTAAATTCCCCTTTTGAAATATTTGAAAAACCGTCTTCTAAGGTATTAGTTTAGAAACAGACCTTTGTATCGGTATTTGTCCTGTACACCTGATATTCATTGATTCATGCCCTATTTCATTTTTAAAATTTTGTCTTTTTATTTATTATGTTGGGGGAAAGTAATTAGATTTATTTATTTATTTTTTAATGGCGGTCCTGGGGATTGAACCCAGAGCCTCATGCATGCTAAGCATGCACCCTGCCACTGAGCTATACCCCCCACCCCCTGATTCTTGCGCTATTTCTAATTGAACTAATTGTAGCTCGGAAATAGGTTTCCCCCTTTGAGGAGTAGAAGTTCCTTTTATCTTCCGTCATAGTCAATCTCAATCATTAATTCTTATAGATGAATTTTACAACCATTGAATTTTCCTTCTGTACTTTTTTAAAAAATTGATGAGATCATACACTTTATAAAATTGTTTCTCGCTTTTATTAAATACTAGTCTTTCAATATTTTCTATTATAATTAAAGCCTCTTAGACATTTGAAATGTCTGCATGTTATTTCACTATTTTCTCTTATTAGGACAGGTTATTGTCATAACTGCTGGAGGAAAATATACAGTGTAATTATTTTAGTGTCCCATCTCCCATAATAAAATGGCAGTTGTGCAGGGCAGAGCCGTGTTTTTAACATTGTAACAGCAGCATTAAGCTTGGTGCCGTGATAGTAGGTGCTCTGTAAGTATTCAGAAAATTTAAAAGTAGGCAGGATTTATTTTATTTTTATTTTGTTTTTCTCTTTTCTCTCTCTCCTACTTTCATTTTTTTTTTTGTTTTTGTTGCTATTATCAGTAATGCTGTACTGGACATCTTTTCCAGTGTGCCTTGAAGTAGCTTATACGTCTGTGTCATATGACAAATAGGCATCAGTTTAAAAAAAAGTGTTTTTTGGCATATTAGCCAGCAATCAAAACCTTTTCGGTAAATTGAAGCTTGCTGTTAAGTGTTTAGTGTTTATCGCATTGGCGCTGTGACGTTTGTGGCACTGTTTCTTGGAGGCTGTCCCGTGACTTCTTTCTTGTAATGACATGTTTAAGGTTCTCTGGAAACATGGAAGGGATGCTGGGTCTGTAAACTAAAAAGCCATTTAAGCCACTGGATGTTCATGTCTCCGTTCAGTCAGACCACTGCCCTCACAGCATGGCTTGGGGACGATGTGTTACTTATAGCGGTCCTGTCACCAAGCCCGATGGCTACTTTTGTACACAGTGAACATGGGTTGAGAAGCAGAGTCTGTCCTCTTCCTCAGAAATGGAGTCCTTAGGAAAAGAGGGGTCTACAAACTCCCAGGTCAACCCCTTTGTCAGTGGCCAAAGGTCTCTGTGGAGACAGATCTTTCCTGAAGGCTGGAGCCTGAGGGGAGGGATGAAGAGGGTGGTGGGGTGGAGACTGGGAGATCAGAAGAAAGAGAACCCCAGGCAATCTGTGTAGGGAATTCTGCCTTTGAGATAAGAGCAACTTTGCAAGAATGGCTTGTTATGGAGAAAGCCTTGGTATTTCCTATCAGAGCAACTCTTGAATCTTAAATGTCGGGGTGGATTTTTATAGTAGTGTTACGTTCATTCATTCATGGAATAAATTCCCTGTCCATTGGAGGGAGAGGATGGTTCAGTGAGAAGGGAGAAAAGCCTTGTGCACAAGCCAGACTGGGTGGAACAGGGGTGAAGTTAAGCACAGTGTTTATGAAGAATCCTAAGTGGTTCCATATGACTAGGGTTTGGAACACAAGGGAGAGAGGGAATTATGTCTGCCTGGAGGTAGACCAGATGGCCAAGGTTGCCAGCTGCCGTGCAGAGGCTGAGCTGTTGGGCAGCTCCCTGGGCAAATCATTTAACCTCTCAGTGCCTCCAGTTCCTCATCTGTAAAATGGAAAAAATAAAATCCCTGCCAAGTAGGTGCTACTATGTAGATGCAATGCGTTAATGCCCGTAGAGTGCTGAAAACAGCATAAGCACTCACATGTTAGCCATT